GGTGTTATAGGAATTTGGGATTTTTAGGGTTCAGGGATAGAGTTTAGCGCCTAGGTCTAAAGTAACTAGAATTAGAAGGGGATGGAACTTGGCATTGAAGGTTCAATACAAAAAACAGGTTTCATAGTTCAACTTAGGGTTCAGTAGTTCACCAAAAGGTGTGGTCAAGTTGCTTCAGCGAGTTCGTGTGCCATTGTACTTGCACCACTGACATACAATCCAAACTGCCGCCACATGCTACTTCCTTTCAAGAAAACCATACAAACGGGTATGCAGAGCCTGCAACATACACACCCCTCCCTCTTTGCCAGACCTGGATGGTTCCCAGGAGCGTTGTCATCGTCCGAGTTTTCCGAAGGCTCATCCTCGACCTTGGTCATCTCAGTTCTGCAGTCCGGGATGGGCAAAAAAAGGGTTTAGGGCTTAGGGCCTAGGGTTTCCTTTCCCTCCCGCATGGCTGAGGATCTATGCCCACTGGCTTAGGGTTTCAGGGCTCAGGGTATAAATACAAGGTATGGGCATCGCGGCATCGGAGTGTGGCACGAACTGGACGCGACAACGGAGGGACCCCGATGCTGAATGTAGGTTGTACATAGAGGGTACAAGTAGTAGACAGGGACTTCACAGGAAAGCTGTTACCACTTATCCCGACCCCAAAGTCGCCAGCCGTAAACCATCACGGCCCTATCTGGTTGAGTAGACCCTTGGAAGAAGTCCTTCTCTTGAAATATCTGCCCTAGTAATCACTACCAAAAAACATCAACAATACTTACTAGATCTAACTAATCTTGTGAGTGGTGAAGTCGGAGAGAAGTTCGGGACTTAGGCAAGAGCAAACGTTTGGTTTGACGCCCAATGTGTGGCAGCCGTAGGGTCTAAGACTTGTGCGATTTAGGGCTTCGGGTTTTAGCCTGTCCGAGAGAACCGCTTCGTCATGGCACGCGACGCATGCAGCAGAAGCAAGAGCAGCCTATCAGTAGCAAAACGATAAACCCAACATTTTGTTTCATGGGACGGTACACCGAGAAAGCCCAAGTGCCCTTAGTTCAGGAATGTATACCAGAAGGGATCCTTCATTAAGGTGTATTTGGGTTCTCTGAATGCTATCTTACGCCCCAAACTCTTTCTCCTTCTGGCACCCTTATAGACCCGCTTTACACCCTATAGCACTTGAATTCCTTGTACACTATTTAAAAGGTAGCATAGCGGTCTTGACAGTTGGAACATATGGCTTCGGTGTATAGTGTCGTAGAACTACGAATGGTAATTCTTCCGACCCCTAAATTAGTCCATAGACTCCATTGTAGTTCCTTCTTGGGATTAAATATATAAACCACAAAAAGGAACTACAATGGAGCCTCTAGTTAGGTAGGGACCTGAGACGAGCTGGCGCCAAGGGTCCAAAATCGCTGCATTGACGCTTGCACTCTGCTGGACCTGCCTCTTCGGCTCTGCTGCTACAGCTGCCTGGAAGGCAAGACTGAGGGTTGAGGGTTTAGGGGTTTAGGGTTTGACTGTTGGAGGCTACAGTCCTAAACGTTCCTAAACCTTAGAACTTAAGAGTTTAGCGGTCTGGCACTTCAGATGTCTGGTCCTTTGGGCTTCATAGGAGGTTGGAGTGGGTCTTCTTACCCTCGTCTTATCCTGACCGGTGGTACTTGTGACACCTGGTCTAGTAGCACAAACCTGCTAAACTCCTGCAGCTCGTTCTCGCACCTGCAGTGCCGCAACAGCACGTCCGACAGGTGTAGGCTTTGAGAATCTTGGCCCGTGCCGAAATCAAAACTCCCCACAGGCAAATGACGCAAGACTTGGAGCTTACGGGCGTTTACACCTAGAACACGTGTTTTGGTGCACACGATCATGCGTATTATAATGAGGCATACTATTACGAATCATGTCGACCCGTAGATTACGCCGAGCTTCTTCCATGAACACTCACTTGCGTGGTTTAGGGAAAAGCGAATTTAAAACGAATGTGTGATGTTCTTGGAAGCGCCACAAAGGGTGGCTTCAATATGACTCTGATACAAAAACCATTAGTCTCACGCAAAACCCTTCTCAGAGTGCCAAATGGTCCTCAGATGTTTATTGCTCTGATCATACCCGAGCTCACAATTGAATCTTTCTCGGCCCTTCAAAAAATACAGAAGAGACACCCTACAGGTCCCTAAAAAACCCTAGAGGTCCCTGAAAACCCTAGAGGTCCCTTAAAAAAACCCTAGAGGTCCCTAAAAATCTACAGGTCCCGAAAAACCCTAGAGGTCCCTAAAAACCCTAGAGGTCCCTAAAAAAAACTACAGGTCCCTAAAAACCCTAGAGGTCCCTAAAAACCCTGCAGGTCCCTAAAAGCCATACAGGTCCCTTCCTCCTGAGTGGTGACAGACACCTGCTGATCCGGCTCCGTCTGCTTAGCGCGCGGCTCGCAGAACCTCGGCCAGCCAAAGCTCTTTAAGTAATATATATATATAGATGTATGATACAGTATATAGTATACTAACTATATACTCTGGTATATCATGCTACCGTAGAATAGGTTCCTGTAATTTACGGGTAGTAACTCAGCCGGTTTACGCTGCCAAAGCGTCTTCCAAGCCCTGAATCCTGACAGCATTGTGCTGGCTGAAGGTACTCCCAGCTTCGGACCTGTGAACGTCATCGCCATCTTCACCATGATGATGTTCATCATCATAATCCTCTCTTCTTCACCATCACCATCATCGCCATCATCACAATCATGACCGTCATCATTATGACCATCATGACCATGAACATGATCACCATCATCATGAACATGATCGATATCATCGTCATCGCAATCATTACCATCTTCATCTTCATCTTCTTCATCATCATCATCATCATCACCATCGTAATCATTGTCATTATCACTACCATCATCATCATCATCCTCATCAAAGCAAAGTGGTGCCCTCCCGTTGATCCGTCGTGCCACAAGAGTGCTGTGCCCATGTGACCATGTGCGGATCCGAATCGCAATGCCAACTTAGAGAGGTACGCAACTCATCTCAGCTCACAAGCTTCCTTAAAGGTTTACTAGACATTAGAATCCTAAACCAGCATTCTTTCAGCTCGGAGGCATAAACGCCATTGGCACCGGCTGCCCATTGGATTGAATCGGACTATGACCAAAGCTCTTGAACATGAAGTTCTGAGCCTTCCCACAGTGAGGATCGTAGGGTTTGGGGATGTAGGGTTTCGGAGGTTTCGAGATGCAGGGTTTTGGGGCTTCGGGGTTTGGGCTTAAGGGTGTCGGGGCTTTATGTCCGAAGCCCAAAATCCTTCAACACTTTAGGGGTTTCAGCACTCACAGCTAGGCGAAGCGACCGGGTGTGGTGGGCACTACGCTTGCAGGGCTTGGTTGGAGTGGAGGTTTTAGGGAGGGTTTAGGGTTCAGGGGCTCGGGCTCGGAGCGGTTTTTTTTAAAGGGAGTGTCGGCCTTTCGCACTGCAAGCAGAACGGAGCGGGTTTAGGGTTTCGGGTTTTGGGCTAAGTGCAAGATGGTCAAGTTTCGAACCTACCCTGACACAATGACTGAAGAAGTGTAACCGTGCAATGCACTCCCTGACTAGCCTATCTCAACAGGTCTAGATGATGCTTCAAAGAGCATGTGGGGCTTACAGCTTCATGAACCCTAAGCCCTAAATCCGAAGGAAGAACCGACGCTGTTGACTGCCTGAGCCGTCTTGCGACGACGATTGCCTGTGCGGACTTCAAGCAGTTGGGGGAAGCAGTCGCTGATGCGCCGTATGGCATCCTCCTCGTGTGCCTTCCTTTCCTTAGGGTCGAGGTGGTCTTGGGTGTCCCTAATAGCCTAAACCCTAAACCCTTAACCCCGAACCCCCAACCCCTGATCCCTAAACCCAAAACTTCCCTAAACCCTAAACCCAAAACCCTAAAACCCCAAAACCCTAAAACCCTAAAACCCAAAACCCTAAAACCCAAAACCCTGAAACCCAAAACCCTAAAACGATTCTAGGCCTTGGTGGTTTTAGCACCATCCCGTATATTGCTTTTGGAGGTCTGGGCCTGATAGGCATCTTTCAGGGTTCATAAGGTTTAGGTTGGTTGGTTGGTTTAGGGTTTAGGGTTTAGGGTTTAGGGTTTTGGGTTTCGGGTTTTTTTGCCTCCCACCTTTGCTAGGACAAGCCCGGACTGCAGGGTACAATCCGAAAGGTTTCGGGTTTAGGGCTTTAGGGTTTTAGGGCTTGGGATTTAGGGCTTTATGGTTTTAGGGTTCGCAAGGTGTTCATAGGGTTTAGGGCTCATAGGGTTTAGGGTTTAGGGTTTCAAGTCTTTCGGTAGCTGCAGCCGGAAAGACCTACTCTTTAGGGTCCTCTTTTAGGGTTTCTCTATATACAATATAAAGTTCCTTAGAAAAGGTAGGTCTTTTCGGTTACAGGAAGGGCTTATTGAGTTTTGGGCTGGTGACTTATGTGCCTTCCTACCCTTAGGGTTTTAAGGGTCATAGTAAGTTTTGAGTGTAGGGTTTAGGGTTTATAGGATTGGGCACATACCGCTATGTGGCTTCCTTGCCTTGACAATTTTTAGTTGCCTCTGGCTTCTTGGGTTAGTTGCCGTCCCTTTCCTTTGGGTTTCTAGGTTAGGCACAAGGAATGAATGCCCAGTAAGCCGGCAGCCCTCAATTGCTGAGTCTACGCTTCGTTCTCAGCCCGTCAACATGAAGAATTCGAACTTTTCGCTGAGTTAAGGGGGGTTTCAGCACTCACGCTCGGTGGGGGGTTTAGGGTTTAGGGTTTACGGGGGCTTACCACAATCTCATTTGAAGGCTTTGGGTTTCATGGTTCAGGGATGCAGGGCTGAAGCACAGACGGTAACTAACAGCAAAGGCGTCCGGAAACCTCCCACTAAGGGGCTGAGAACCCGAGCCCCACAATTGTCAACCTTTTTATGACGGTACGAGTATTTAGGCTCAGAAATGTCAAGGATTGCCTACCCAGCCTCTAACACCAAGTTTCCGGTGCCGTATTGTAGAGCAGGTTGATCCCCCCAGCTGCCTTGAACTCAGTCCGGGCGCTGTACCTCCGAGCCCCTTTGGACCCCAATATGTAGCTGACAGTCTAAGGAAAACAAATATGAAAATGGCTCCCAAGGAACACCCAGGCGCATAGAATATCTCAGCACTATGCCATCTGCATTGAAGAAACGACAGGAGCGCTCTACATCCTCCGTGGGCGAGCCATATACAGATCGGAACTCGTTGCTATGCCGGTTGAGATATCCATAGGCAAAGCCGTTGACCATGCCATTTCTCCGTGATATATGCGTTCGCCGCATATTCATTGGGTTCGCGCTCGGGGAGAAGCCCCAAATGTATGCCCCTTGCTCATGCATCAGATCTCTCGCATGGTGGATCACACATTCCAGTGCTCCTGGCGGTAGTGGCTGAAGTGTATCCTGGGTGGTGCCCTCCCTGATTTTGCAGAAGAGCTCTGGCACATCATCGTCGAAAGACACGATGTGAGTACCTTCAGGATGATGCTTGCTGATGTAATCCCGCTGCTCTTGAGTTCCTGAGCTCTCTCTTAAGGAGCAGCCGCTTTCGTAAGAGCTGCGGATTAGGAGTTGGGATTAAGAACAGTTACGGCAGTGGTGAAGGCATGACACTCACCAATTATGGCACTTGGAACTTACCTACAGAACCTGCGAAACCCTTCCGAGAACCCTAAGCCCTAACCCGCTATCAACCCGAAAAAAACGCTGAACATCCAACTGCACCTTCCAGAACCCAACGCCCTAACACACCAATAGAACCCTTGTAGAAGCCCTATAGAAGACCTATATGCCCTAAACCCTAAACCCTAAGCCTATACGATTACGCCAAATCACCCCTGCAGGCTCCAAGCACACCCAACTTCACCGTCACAAAACCCCCCACAAAACCGGAAAACCTAAACCCCTAGACCCTGCCCTACCTGCTTAGGATTCCTTATTTACGGCTTCAGTATATATCGGTAGCTCCTTAAGACGGGCAGGTCTTTTGGCCACAGGTATACCCGAAACCGAGGCTCCAAGAACGCCCAACTTCACCTTCACAAAAGGCCAGCCCTTGAGCGCATACTTGTATCGGCTCTCCTCCAGCTCCTGGACCAAGGCGGAACTTCAGTTCCGACTTCAGGGTTCGGGCCACGGAGGTTGTATTTTCCACCCAAGTTTGGGGTTTAAGTTTAGGGGTTTGGGGTCTAGGGCATAGAGGTTAGGGCTTAGGGTTGCCTGAAAAATAATTTTCGAAGGGGTCCCTATGATAAACCCAAATGTGCACTCCACTTCTCATCCGAGCTCCTGCTGCTCGGGTGCATAGCCGGGAGCGACCCAGACCTAAGAACAGACGTGTCGATAGCAACAACGAGGCTAGTGTTGTCGAGAGGCCCGAGCCCGAGAACGTTATGTGCTAGGGCCTAGGGTTTAGGCTTCTAGGGTTTAGGGATGTTTTGGGTTTAGGACACAAAAAGGGTGGCGAACAACAGCAGCATGTCGGTTCTCCGTTTCAGCTAGGGTCGCAGAATGGTCCAAAAAGACGGGAACTACCCACGACAGAACAAAGCATCACAACATACAAGAGCATATTCAAGGTTGCACCAACTCCTCTCATGTCCATTCCTGTTTCTTGCAACACTTTAATGAGTACATGGGCAGGGGCACTGAATCCCTCAATCCTTGTGATAACCCTTAGAGAAATCTTGTAGCACCCTTATGGAGGTAGATAGGGATCCTGCACACTACACCCCCCAAAACCCCGAATTAAGCCAGAAACCCTTCAGCCCTCAGGGTGTAGTCCCACACTGACTGCGGTACCTCAATGAGCTGCTCAGGAATCTGCTGCCGACGGAGAAGAGAGAGTGTCTCCTGCTGTGTCGATGTAGGGTTTAGGGGCTTCGGGTTGTCAAGTTGATAAGCCGTAAACCCTTAACTCCTAAACTCTAGACCCGTTGATGTGGGGCTTGGGCTGTGGAGTGCAGGATGTGGGGCTTGGCTTGATGTAGGGTTTAGGATTCAGGGTTGATTCATAACCCGCCTTGACGTACTTTTCATGGGGACCCTTGCAGACTTATGACTTCCCAAACACAAGGTAGCAATACAAAGTAGTGCCCTCGCCCATTGCCCTAAACATAAACTTTTTCTAGGTTTGGTAATCTGGCCCATGTTCGCGGAATCCCTGAACCATTCTCGACGGGCCCAAGTGCAATCCTAAACAGCCCTTCATAAATTTCTTGGTCAGGACCGAGCATGCACAAACAGAGAGAGAGAGAGAGAGAGATACACATATATATATATATATGCTAGCCC